CCCCCCCCCCCCCCCCCGATCTCTCCAAGCTGTCTATATTGTACTGTTCTAGGAGGGCTTTCTTGTTGCTGAAGCCCATCCTGGCCTAAAGAAGATCCACCACACCCTGTTCTGCAGCCAGAGAACTGGAAGAGTGCCCTGCTCCAAATTCCCACCTGCCTAGTGGCTACGCTAACATCGGCCTTGCAATTTCTCAGTAGTTTGCTTCCCACGAAAAAGAGGCTTCTGTTTTTCCACCGCATTCTCAGGGTGCTTGAGAATTCCTTCTGAATTTCACTTGGTAGAAATTCCTTTCGAATTTCTCAGGGTAGAGAGGCCTGCTGGTAAGGTTATGTGGGGTTTTTATGACATATATTCCTATCCCTATACGACCTCCCTGGCTCCCTTGACTTTCTAAATTGAAAAAAGTCCCTGGGAGAACATTCATTCCCTTTGCTAGCTTTATTAGAAGTACAATACGGCGAGTCCAAGGGTCCTGCATCTCACCCATATAATTGCCCTAAGATCTTCTCCTCTGAACAAAATCTTTGTTTCCCACCCAACTGAGAAATAATTTTAAAAACCTCAGCAGAAAATTCCAGCAAATCAATCTTTATATCACCAGCTGAACTTCATGGTCCCTCCATGGCTATTTTGGCTTACATTGGGAAACAGATTCCTAAAGCTTACCTACTTTCAATCAGCCCGTTAAATAAATCACAAAATGGAATTTAACCGAACATCAAGATTCTGTTGATTACTCTCACCTCTTTCCTACCATTAAATAAATCAGACATTAGCAGTAAAATGGCCTGAAAGCTCTCTTCCATTTTAGTTCTTTCAGGCAACCAGAAAACTGTCTTAAATAGATTTGTTCTTGGGGATCGACTGTTGATGAACCATATCATAGAAAGATTTGTCTGCACGGCTGCTGTCCTCTGGTGGAGAACCTCATTTTTCCATTCTGTTTTCAGAGTACGAACAGTGCAGTTTCAGGGTGGCAAGAAAACTGCTTCCAGGAAAGCTAGCTGGTCAAAACTATTTGGAAGGAAGGACGTAAGAACAGCCTTAAAGTTGCCAAGTTTGAAAAATATTGCTCTATGACAAAGTGCGTACATTTTTAGCCACTTAATAATATAACTGCTTTCTTTTCCACTTCCTATTATTATTATCATTATTTTCTCCAGAAATATTTGACAGACATGACGGGGGAGATTTCTTTTCATGAACATACATATATTTAAATGTATTATTATATCAGCATTTAAAACCTTTTGGTACAAAAATGATTATCCTGGGAGGCCTCTTTGTGTATAAAACAAAGCACAATGTATTCAAAAGTCATGTGTCATTCAACTCCATAGCAGAGGTTCACTGAATTGAGGTAGACCCCAATTTTAAATAATCAATGATGTTGCAAAGCTTTGGGGTAAAGAACCCATGCACGACATCTTTGTACCGGTTATGATCTTCGTGGGGGTCACTTTTTTCAAAATACAGCTCTCCACCATGGATGTCCTTCACGTTGACTGTGAAGTTGTTGGGATTAAACCCAAACCAGACAGTACACCTGTAATCAGGCGTACGAATGGAATAGCCCATGACTCGTATATCTTGAAGCGATGGCAAGTCAGAATTCTGTGCGGGGATGTCTCCAGGACGTGGATACTGGCTGAAGGCAACCGGGGTTTCTGAGTCTTTTTGTTCAGTGCCGTGGTTCTCCTGCCCTCCACTGGAGGATGGGAAATACTGAACCATGCTTTTCCCTTCACTACACAGAGGGATGTGAAATGAAGGCTGAGGACATGTAGGAGGAATTTTCAGTCCAGTTAGTTCTGCAAGCGTTGGGAAGAGGGACACCAACTCAACCATTTCTTTGGGTTTTCCTGGATTGGGGTAGGGGAAAGAATTAAGGTGGGGGAGAAGAACAGCAGAGGCAATTATTAGATGACAGTTGCCCAGGGATCCAGTCAAGATGGAGATATTTTGGAACTTAATTAGAATCAGTGGGTTGAGTCCATTGAATCCAATCAAGTACAAGAACCAAACAAGCTTCTCCAATAAGTGGTTGACCAACTTCAGTCTAAGCACATTCAAGGAAGGAGAGTCTCTACATCTCTGGGTAATTGGTCCCACTGTCAAATTGCTTTTACCATTATGAAGGGTTTTTTTCCCCCTAGCATTCAATCAGAATCGGTCTTCCTGCAACCTGAATCCATTGTTCTGTGTCCTGTACTCACTTCCTCTGTGAGCTTTATGCCAAAAAGAATGTGAATTTTGTAGAAGTTCTGCCTTGGTGAGCAGAGCCATTCTGTGGCTTTGCAATTATAAATGAACAGATGCTAGCAAACTCTGAAGAAATGTATCTACTTACTTTTAAAGATTTCAGTCTCGTACTGCACAACTGAAAAGTTTTCCCAGAGTGGCTTGCAAAACCAACAACAGCCCAGCAGAATTTTCACACTAAAGTGTATTGGCATTAAATAAAATCTAAGAAGGAGAAGAGCAGCACGCCTGAAGCTTTTATTTTATTCAGCATGTCTGAAGACCCTAATGGAATCAGCAATGAAAGATCACACTTTTAATTTTTGTGCGGTTATCACACAAAAATGTGGATTTTTACCTTGAGGCCCAGACCTTGAATTTTGAGTGAAGGGGTCAATGAACGGAAAAACTTTCTGTCCTGGATCAGAGATCGGAGCTGTCATTCCTGGCACAAAGAACATCAGTGGCACTCGCGTGGCTACCTCAAAGTTGCTGTATTTTGCCCATTCGCCATGTTCGCCCAGTGACCAGCCTAAATGAGATCAAGAACCAGGAGGAGAGAGAGCATCAAGAGCAGAAGCAGTGCTGTTGATCCATCCAGAAAAAAAAAAAAGCAGAATCAAGAGTTGGGCGTAATGCCTTTATTAGGATTGAATGATATCAAAGAACACACAAGCTTTTAAACTCTCCAGGACTCTTCATTCAGTCTTACCACAAAGCAGGAGATGCAGAAAGACCAAGGACGTGCAAACATGGTGCATCTG